TAGTTTCTTCTTTCTATTCTGTTTGTTTTTTCGATACATGTACAAATACCATAGAATAATAACTTGTATTTAAAGTTTTTTCAAATAGTATATATTAAATATGATATCATGTTACTTATAAGAAATAATACAACAGGAATCTTAGTGTTTTTATATGAAAACAATGTGGGAATACCTCTGACTTTCGTTTCGAGCCCAGTGTGAGATGTTTCTCCTTTAGTTCTCGAAATAAGGTGAGCGACTTGTTATAATGATCTTGATCTCGCGAAAGCAACAGATATGCTCGCCAATTTGCAGAATCAAAGCCCCAGTGACAGGTGCGATTTTCAAGAGATCTATGAGCATGCCTGACAAAACGTTGGGGCGAGAATTGATAGCCACATTCTGTACACTCTATACATACAGACTCGTCCGACTCGAACAGACTCGCATCGAAGATTCCTTTACATTTACCGAAGCACTCGTGATATACCTTAAACTTGACAATAGACTCCTCGTCGTCACTTTTGGTACATGCTTTCTTATCGAGGCTATCTTGATTACCGATCTGGGAAGGATCGCACGACTCTGTCCGTAACAGCAAAGCACTGACGAGCCTCTCGGCATCTGTTTGAGTGATAAGGCCACAGGAAGGTGCGTTACGCGGTAGAATTCCCGAATGCTTAAGTTCCTCTAATTGATCACGAGTGCATCGCGAACAATAGATTTGCAACTCGTCGCAGACCTGATTGATTTGATGAAGCGAAAATTCTTGCAGAACAGTATTCAATATCTGCGGTAAACATAACCTCCTCTCACCGCCTACAACAAAACACGATATCCTCTCGCCCTCGAGGATTGTTTCGCATCTCTCGGAGCAACTTTGGTCCGGTGCTGTCAAGATTGGTATCTGAAATTCCAATTCCCTCTTCTCAGAAGCGTTCTTCGAACGTTCCAGTTGCGGATCTTCGTCCGAGTCTTCGTGCGGTTGCTCGGTTCTACGAACCGAGGCCTTGCAAGGGCCGATAGGCGTTACCGACGGATTGTTGTTGTCCTTCTCGGTGATGTCCTTAGAGATCGGTTCCGCATCGGCAACGCAACCACTCGATCGGTTGGGCGAGTAACAGGGTTCCTCCTGTAGTAGGCTTTTGCAGTCCATACCAAGCAGGGCCGAGCTCGGACCCTGTAAGCTTTTCACAGCAGATAATTGATATGTCTTCAACACGGTCTTCAGCTGCGGGCTATACGACTGACTGTTCGCATTCCCCGGTAATAACGTCTCCATTATTCGTGGAATATCTGCGTGAAAGAAATTCGAGAAGATAAAACGGGACCGCGCGGAATTCTCGGTGCTCGTGACATACCACGCTATTTCATTCGACTCGAAAACATAGGCGTATTTACACCCACAATACACGCACGTTCGCTCTACGCGGCGGACACTTCCAACTCTTCGACGTATTAGCTCGCGTTCTGAAAAAGCGAACGCTCGACCAAACATACGAAACGTTTCATCCTCGTCGTGTGTTCTCCGTTTTTTGGTCGGGAATAAGCTTAACCCGTTCACGTGTATTCTTCTCCCCCTGTAACGTTACGTTATCCGCAGTCTATTGTCCATCGCAAGGGAACCTCCATATACATGATAATTCTCTCGCTCTCGACCTCTCTCAGTCCGTTTCACTGCGAACGCAAGCACGATCACTGCAGCGATCAACGTTTCGTTCTCGATTCAATTTATCGTTTACTTTATCAATACACGCTACCGTCCAACACAACTCTGCCGTTGATAAAATTATTCCTCGCGACTCATCCGACTTCTGCTTATTGCCGATTTCATTTGCATAATTCTGCGATGTTCCGCCGTTACTCCCGCATCAATGGTACGAGTTTCCTCGGAGCGATGTACCGCGCATTGTGTCGCGAGCTATCTCGTTATCACTGGCGTTCGTCTCTATCGTCACCCGTTCGCGATATTATCGTGTCCACCGTCACTGTAGTCGCTATCGCGATCGCGACCGCCATTGGATTATCGCCGCCGCCGCCGCCGCCGTAGCTATTTCTACCACCACTGTCGCTGCCGCCGCCGTCACAGTTACCGCCACCGTCGTCGCCACTGTCACTCTGCACTGACCACTCTTGTCGTTACCGTACGACCACGACGACGACGACCACTACTACTACTACTACTACTAC